GTCATGTTTAATCGTCCAGTTTGTTTGGAGGCAAGTAAACTAACTGTACACGTTGGTGTCGTTTGTAAAGGGTCCTGTCTCATGGTACGGAGAAGAAGGACAAGCATCCGTTGAATCCGGAGGAGTGCAGTTAACCTTCAGCTCAGTGACCTCAAGCCAATTCCCAGCTTTCATTTTCAGCTAACCGTTGTTTCCAGCACATAACAGCATCAACATTTACGGACCAGTCACTATTTGTCGCCAGGGGGGAAGGAGGGGGTCGGTTAAAGGATTATGGTGGGTGTTTTCACTGTCCACTCAGAAATTTGGCAATGTGCCATGTGAACAGGATGGTACCCTAGTGGTTTTAAGATATTGGATACCTGTGATGAACAATATCATTCTCCTATGAGAAAATTGCTCCTTGATATTCAGAACCAAATGAATCGCGAACCGTAAATAGTTTGCACAAACGTGAAGCTGTTCAATAACAATCAATTTTTGTGAGATGGAGCAATTTTCCAAAGTAATTCATGATTACTTTGATTTTGCCTCGCGACACTTTTAAACTTCGTCCAGAAAGTTGGCGCTACTCTCGGCCAATAGAACTCAAAACTGAAAGCGACTTGGCCTCTTGTGGCACTGTGCCACTATCCCACGCAGCAAACAGTGAGCTGTTCGTAAAGATTTTCCCCACGCATTGCAAAAGTATGTGATGAATAATAAACACAATAGCCTCCATTTAGAGCGAAATTATACTCTTCTATTTGTTCTAGGGCATTAACCGTTCCTAGAAGCTCACAGTTTTCCTTGAGTTTCACTCTCAGCCAGTTTTCGGAAAACTATTCGCTTGTCAGAACAGACAATCCCTCGATAATGTCCGCTGACAAGTATTCCTGCATATTTTCGCGCCAAATGGAGGCTATTGTTTATTTATCGGTGGTGCAATGTTGCGTGACATGAAGTATCTACATCCAATCACACTGCATAAGCGGCTAATGTGAACATTGTTTACATCGTTACATCAAAGAAAATCCTACTAGAAAGGCTAAACCTGATCCGAAAGTGACGATGGCTGTTTCTGAAGAAAACTGGCAGACAAAACTATCAACTGTCGCACAGAGAACTACGTTTATTTTCAACAACGAGTTATTAAGCGATGTGAAGTTTGTTGTTCCCGTGTCGCCAGAGCAAGACGGAATTAAAACGGTGATCCCGGCTCACAAGTTTGTTCTCGCAATCAGTAGTCCTGTGTTCTTTGCCATGTTCTATGGTCAAATGGCGGAGACTAAAGACTCTATTGAACTGCCTGACTGTGAGTGCGAGAGTCTGTTGGAGTTGTTTCGTTTCTTGTACGGTGACCTAGTGAATTTAAGTGGAAATAATGTGATGCAAGTGTTGTACTTAGCGAATAAATACATGGTGCCTTCACTCGCCAAGAAATGTGCAGAATATCTTCGAGACAATTTGACAGCGTCCAATGTGTTATGTATTCTGCCCCAAGCTCAAAAATTTGAAGATAAAGATTTGGAAGATCGATGCTGGAAAGTGATTGAGATACAGACCGAAGAAGCTGTGACGTCAGATGAATTTGTGACGGTTCAGCGATCTTTACTTGAATCTGTCGTGAAAAGAGAACTGCTCAATGTGAAAGAAGTGAAATTATTCAAGGCTGTTGATCGCTGGGCCACCAACGAATGCCAGCGAAAGGGGTTCCTCCCTGATGGACAGGCAAAGAGACTAATTCTAGGAGAGGAAATCATAAAAGCAATACGGTTTCCACTAATGTCGCAAGAGGAGTTCGTTACAGTTGCGTTAAATTCTCACATCCTTAACACGCAAGAGGTTGAAGAACTGATGAAACAATTCTGCGAGGATACATCAACATCATCTGCTTCATTCTTACATGTTTCAAGAGCTCGATGCCTTAAGTATGTCCATCGGTGTAACAGATTTACAACGATTGTACCTCAATCTTATGACACCGGATGGGGGTACACTCGCGGTATGTCTGATAGTGTTTCGTTCTTTGTCAGTAAGCGCATAAATTTACAAGGAGTTCAGCATTTTGGGACAGAAGGAGGAAAATACACGGTGTTTACTAAAGTCAAGGATACCTCGGATGGCTCATCTCTCGCAAATCAGACTGGATTCTACTCAGCAGGGATGGACAAAACCAATCAATTTTATGGCTTTGACGTATTGTTTGACAAACCAGTTTGTTTAGAGCCGAATAAGATATACAAGTTAAAATCGTTTGTCACTGGCCCAAATTCGTGTTACGGGGACAAAGGGAAAGTCGTTATTGATTGCGAAGGAGTAAGATTCAACTTCCGTGACGGGGGTAACAATAACGGTACGTCTGTGAGACGGGGTCAGTTTCCTTCATTGATTTTTAGTAAAATATTTTAATCTTGCTTAAAAAGTAATCTCGCGAAATCTAGGAATATTTAGCCATGACAAGCAAGAGAAAAGTCAGTTTTACGTTATGATTGTGAATCCTTTCGAGCTAAGAGATAAAAAATTGCTGATAAGTTTTACCTAACCATAATTGCCTCAGACAAATAACAAAATAAATGGAATAATCCATTGACACAACAAAGTCGTAAAGTTTACCCCAATTTTTTTCTTTAAGAAAGATTCAATAAATTCAATGTAGGTAAAGTACTCATGGTCCTCACGCGCACGAGGAGGTAAACATTTAAGGGATTCTGGCAATTGTGGTCAAATTTAATTTTAATTTAGTCCATTTTCACTGCATTAAGTTTTGCAGTGGGGAAGGACTAGAAAGGAACATAGGAACCATTCGTGCTAGTCCACCCTCCCACCCATCCCACCCCAGGGGAGGACATCCATCACACAGTAATCTCGTGTGTGGGAAATTAACGTCTCCTACCCCAACCCTGCAGGAGACGGGACCTCCATTTATTCGTCCCTATCCGAGAAGACTAGAATATCTAACCACTTCTTGATGTTATAGAAAGGTAGCAAATTCTTCTCAATTTTTTTAAGACCCTGAGTGTTGGTCCGGCCGGGGCTCGAACCCTCGACCTCCCGCACAACAGTCCAGCGCTCTATCCATTGAGCTAATCGCGAGGCAGTATCTTGCAAATGACAGTATCTTGCAAAAGCGGTTACTAAACCTCAAAACATTCCCAGTAAATGTTGTTCCCTGAAACATACTACAAACAAGGCTGTAGTGATCTCATGATAATAATTAATTCGTGTCCTGAATCGCGAGTCGAGCAGTAATCCAAGTCTTGATAAGTGTTTCCTTTCACCCACTCCCTCAGGCTTGTGTTTGTTGCTGCTACAGCTTTAAGTGATCTGGTCGATCGATATGACAACCAATGTGATATCAAACAAACAAACACACAAACCAACCAACAATTGAACAAACAGACAACTCCATTGATGACGGTTTTGCCTCGACTTGACCTCCCTTTTTGGTATAAAGGCCGCCAGATCCCAGAGAATCCGGTTCAATCCTAACTTTTCATGTGCGTGTTCATGTGAACTGGAGCAATTTTTTCTCCAAGTCAGACCAAATGTCCTTACCAGTTTCCAAGCAGTTTATTAGCATTTCAACTTTTCTTGAATCCAAGCTTCCCTCCTAAAATAAGAGAAAAGTTCCCAACATAAGTACAACAATTGAGAAATTGTGTTCTGGTATAGCCATTAGGTTTTCGTTTCAAAACTTATTAGTATCACAACTCATAATATCTGTAACCTTAAACACAGTTCTTTAGTTAAAATTGAATTAAGGTGGCTCTCGTACACTTTGCGACGACCTTTCAACTCAGGTTTTTTTTTTTTCAGTTGACGTAAAAAATATGAACAAAATTAATGATCTCTCACTAGGATGTTACAAAAAACAGGAACATAAAAATGCAACTTGAATTTCATCAATGGATCGTTAAGTGACTGAGCTCATAAGCGCTTTGATTTGGGAAAAGTCAGAGTGCAGCCTACCACCCCTTTTTCCTTTTAAAGACGGATAGGATTTAGTTTCTATTACCTTGAATACAAAGTCTATATAAACGATTAACCAAAATAACAAAAATAATAGTCACACAAGGAACACACCTGTCGAAGCCGATCCAAATCATCGCCAAAACTGGAGGTTGCCATCTCCATATAATAGTCACGGAAAGACTTTGTTTTCCCTTCGCTCTGTACAGGAAAATGGATAAATTTTCCCACTTGGCAAACGCAGTAATAATTTACATTTTAGTCCAAAACAAAGGACAAAATAATAAAATTGAAAAATTACACATTAACAACAAACAAAGGTAACTTCGCTTGCAGATGTGCCCTCTCTTAGAATTAGAGTATATATTATAAAAGTATTAGATACACTAACTAAATGACAGATAAATGGTTTTACTCATTAACCTCATTCATGGTAGGTTCATTGTCTTCAATTTTCTCTGTAAATTTGATTGGAGCATCCTCCTTGAAAAAAGTACGAAATTGGAAAATGATTCATTAAAATCTACCAAAAGATTAGACCACAAACAGAGACAGACCAGACTGATATACAGATGAAGCAGACAATTGGACATACGGACAGATAGGGGAAGAAACGCAAAAAAAAATAGACTGATAGACCAACAGACTAACTTGACTGTTACAGACTGATAGATCAGACACAGACAGGCCAGACTAACAGACAGATAGACCAGATTGTCTGACAAAGACCACAGTAAGACAAAGACCGACCAACAGACTGGCAGAGAGACACGAAAAAAAGACATTCAAACCTGTCTCACAATCATGCTTTGTAATGCAATAATAAAATCCCTTAATTACTAGATTCATTTTAACCCCTTGTGTTTTTTTTTTTTCCTGTAAAATGCATGCAATGGTATATATACCATGTAGTATTATCAGAAACAAAAAGGAGAATAAAGAACAAAGACAATTATTTTTAAGGACCTCCGAGTTGTCTTGGGAAATATTTTCTTCTAATTTCTTGTCTAGTAGTTCCATTTCTTGGCAAATCTGTTGGTTAACCTGCATAACCTGTCTCCATAGGCCAATTTTGATGTACTGGTCAGGTGGAGCCAGGGATGGCTTTATTTTCACATCCTGTTCACAAAAAGAAAAAAAAACATCATATAAAGGAAAATATTCACAAAAATTAGAATTTAGAATTTAATTTATTCACCATGG